TGGAACCAACTTCCAAGGGAAGTGGTGCTGGCTCCTACCCTGGGGGTCTTTAAGAAGCGGCTCGATGCCTACATGGCTGGGGTCATTTGATCCCAGTTTTCCTCCTGCCCAGGCAGGGGGTCGGACTTGAAGATCTACAAGGTCCCTTCTGACCCTACTTCTATGATTCTATGAAAAGCCACGTTATCTGGTACTTTATAAACTGGAAAGCTCCACTAACTGGCATCTGTCACTCTTCTGAGGGATGCGGAAAAAAGCAAACCGGAAGTGCCACTTCCGGTTTTGCCACCATGAGTCGAGTCCCACTTGCTGTGATTCTTCTTTGTGGCCCGGGGCAAAGCAGCCTCCGCAGGGCCCGCTCCCTGTCCCCCGGCACACTGACGTTATCTGGTACTTTATAAACTGGAAAGCTCCACTAACTGGCATCTGTCACTCTTCTGAGGGATGCGGAAAAAAGCAAACCGGAAGTGCCACTTCCGGTTTTGCCACCATGAGTCGAGTCCCACTTGCTGTGATTCTTCTTTGTGGCCCGGGGCAAAGCAGCCTCCGCAGGGCCCGCTCCCTGTCCCCCGGCACACTGATGCGAACGTGTAGTGCACTAGATGTGGCATATTTGATTAACCGGCATCCCCCATTTCTGGGGGATGCTGGATAGCAGAGCTTTTGCTGTGATCTGATCTAAGGTAAATTGGGATGGGGAAGCTAGGGGGACTCAAGGGGGCACTGGGAACAGCTTGCAGGATGGGGGTTTGACTTGCTGGGAGGAGGGGGGGCGGTTGTTTGTCTGGTGGGGGGTTGAGGGGCTCGGCTAAAAATAGCCTGATGCCAGGGAGGGGGTAGGAAAAGCACAGCAGCTGGGCTTTCCCAGCCTTGGCTCTGTGCTGGGAACTGTACAGAAGTTCAGGAGAGTTAGACTGGTTTAAAAGTGACCAACCCAATCTAATTTAAGTTTACTTCAGAGGTAGGATTCACACTTAGATTGCCCTAACTAGGGATCTAAGTGTCTGCACCTGGGAGAATTTAAGTTAGATTGGGTGGCCATTTTAAATGCAATCTAACTTCCTGCTAACCTCCCCAATGCCTGTATGCACCATTAATGGAGGGGTCCATTTCAAGGCTTTGGTATGTCATATGGACCTGCATCAAGGAACCTTAATATAATTTTAATACTTTAGCGACATTACATTGCCCAAACAGTTATGTTGCATATTCTTGGAATCTTGGGGCACAGGCTGGGGTAAAAGCCAGTTTTTCAGATAAAGACTCATTAATTTTCTTGCTGTAGACTCAGTTATTTCAGCTGCCATGTTTTGGAGTGTGGGCCACATTCTGCCCTTCATTACACTTTTGCAATATGAAACAAAGAAAAGAAGAGTCAGGTGAAGATATGAAGGAATAGCAACAACAGATTTAGTTGAGGGTTGAATGTCTCTGTATGTTCAAGTGAGCCATGGGTTTCTACTTTTTATGATGCAAAAAAAAGGGGGGGGGCTGTATTTTTTAGGACTCTGTGCTGCTTTCGTTGTACTTCAGAAATACTGGGAATTAAAAAAAATCTACTCTCCTTAACTTTTGCCAGAAGACCTCTCTGTTGGGCCTTAACTTTAGTACAGGGGTTGGCTACTTTTTTGGTCAGGGTGCGAAAACCCCACTGCAACCTTGACTTGTAAGATGTTGGCAAGCCACAGGTGGATAGCGGGGAAGCTGCTAGGGGCCCAATCCATTCTGCTTTGTGGCAGCACAGCTTTGGCCCCTTCCCCGCCATCTGCCCTGAGGTGCGCATGCCCACCACAGAGCCCAGGATGCTTGCAGTAGATGGTGGGGGAGACTGCAAACAGCTGCAGTAGGGGGTGTGGAGCCCCGGCCCAGCTTGTTGCTGGCGGCAGCTGCACATGTGCCTTGAGATGAACAGTGCGGAAGGGGCTGGGACTGCACTGCCACAACAAGGATGGGGCCCCTTATGTCTCCTGCACCATTCACCCCAAGGTGCACGTGTCAAGCAAAATGCCTTTGTGAACCACGCTTGGGCATGCGTGCCAGGTGTTGCCTTACACCTGTTCTAATATACTGTGACCCTTTCCCCCTCCTGGTACCTCCACCAAAACAGCACTGGTATTTGTTCTTCAGAAAGAGTCTTGTCCATACCTTTAATTAGTGATCAAAGGTATTAACTAAGCTAAAACCAAAACAATTTAGACACGACTAAACATCTTTGTCTGCTGCTGAGCTGTAAATTATTAGCTTCTTATGTTGTTATTATATCCTTTGTTTTCTTCTCAGAATTAAATCAGTTTTGCTTTACCTTTATTTATTTATTTAAACCCCCCACAAAAATCACACATTTCTGGCTTCCTGTATGCAGTAGAGGAAAATAAAAGTTGAGCTTCCACCTGTTTTTGCTTAGGGGCCTCTTGGTCTGTCACTCTTGATACAGCCACATTCTGGTGTCACACCAAGGTCCCCAGATTGAGTTTGCATTCCCAGAGATGTCTGCCATAATATTAATGGCAGCATTTTCTGCTACATTGCCTATCTGGGTAATTCATACCCAGATAGGCAATGTAGCCTATCACTGAAATTTTATGTAGTAAATACATAAAACTGGAGTAGGATTTCTAAGGGGGTGGGAACAAGGGAACTGACTTTAAAATGTAAATTTCAGATGACCTTAGAACCAAACTTCCTGATTCCAATTTGACTTAAGAGCATTCATGGACTTTTTATAGACGCAGCTGCAGTTTCTTTCTGCTGAAAGAAATGTGGAATTAAATGATTCATTAGTAAAGAACTGAAGTAATCTTGCTGTAAGGCGTGAATTAATGTTTTTTCTGTGTGGTCCTCAAGATGCGCAAAGACTGTAGACT